GTGTGTGTGTGTGTGTGTGTGTGTGTGAGAGATCCAGGATCAGAGTCCAACAAAATTAAAACTGTTTTGTTTTATTTTACTCGACAGATTCTGTGTTTTTTTTCTTCTCTTCTCGGTTTGAAGAGATGAGTTGTTTAAAGTGATGTCACGTATTTCCAGAACCAATCAGGAAGCAGCGTTTGAATCTGAATCCGATCACAGCTGTTGAGTTGTTTACTGTCAATCAAATCAAACCCACAGAGTTCTGATGAAGCGGATATGAATCTGTATGTTCTGTCATATTGCTGTAGTATACTATAAACTATATAACTACATTTCACTTGTTTTATGTGATGTTATTGTGTTTTATTACTTTTACATTATTACATTATATTTATATATTAATACAGACAAACTGTAAGTATCATTACTTAACCATATTTTCAGATTCATGGAGCGATACAAAGAGATATCATGGATGTAAAAACCTTTGACTCTAGTATGTTAACAACTTTATCCAATGTTCACGTGTATGTTCTGGAAATGAATGAACATATATGAGCATATATTTAATAAGATAACATCTCATTTGCATTTTTATTTCTTTACCCTATTCATCTGTTACGACTCCCCTTAAACCGATCAACCACTTTGGCTCAGATTAAAATATCTCACCTATTCAATCGATCGCCCAGAAATTAGTTCCAGACGTTCATTCACTGCCTCTGAAGATGAATTTCACCACAACACACAATACTCACACTAACAAAGTGCAGCCGCACAATGTTCAGTCCACCCTTCTTATGTGCAGATTCAAACTCTGCATGAGGACAAGTGGAGGGAAACGTGTCGACTGATTTCAAGAAAATGTCCATTACCACAGTGCGTAACGTGTGTGTGTGTGTGTGGGTGTGTGTGTGTGTGTGTGTGTGTGTGTGTGTGTGTGTGTGTGTGTGTGCGTGTTGTCTCACCCAGACTACCCTCACGGTATCAGACTGACGTCGGCGAACCCCGGAGGAGAGAGGAAGGTGCTGATCGTCTTCACGGCTCCGAGCCAGCAGGACCGAGCTCGCTTCACCTCCGACCTCCGAGAGAGCATCGCCGAGGTGCAGGACATGGAGAAGTACCGGGTGGAGTGTAAGTGTACCTGAGGCCGTATGTAGTAGTAGTAGTACGAGTATGAGTCACAACAGTTTCATCAGTAGTACCAGTAGTACCAGTTGTATCAGTAGTACCAGTAGTTGTAGTGGTACTTTTGTATTTTAACGTCTCCCTCTTTTCTCCCTGCAGCCGAGCTCGAGAAGCAGAAAGGTGTGATGCGTCCAGGTGTGATGTCGGGGGGAGGACCGGGAGGAGGCGGTGGGACGCCGGGGGGCGGGGCCAACGTCGGCGCCGCAAAAGGCGAGGTGGTGAACGGCACTCTGGGTAGGCCGAGCCTCGACGACATGTACGCCTCGGTGGACGGACTCAAACGCACGGCGCTCAGCTCCTCACTGAGAGACCTCTCAGAGACAGGTGAGGACGGGAAACACAGATGTACAAGTACAAGTACAAGTACATCGTAAAATAACAGCATTTGTTTCTTGTGAGACGTGACTGAGATCCTGCAAATGTGATATTTGAATGTTTCTGTTTTTATTTCTGTTGTGACTCACTGACTCAAACCTACATCTGTGGTCTTATGCAACTGATGAAACAGTGATGAAACCTAAGATGGATGGAAGCAGAGCTGAGATGCTCCGGTGCCTCCTGCTGGACGGCTACGAGAAGTTCAGCATGACAGATATCGGGGGGGGGGGGGGGGGGGGTTCTTTAAAAAGACACGGGAGGCTGATCACTAGGTTAACCATGAACTGATAGCCGGTCGATATTAGTAGAGTTAATTAATCAATGTCAAATTGTGTTTCTGATGATTTCTGGTTATTATGGAATTAATTTGAAATTGTAACAAAACAAGTATACGTCCTAAATTCAAAATCCAATCTAAATAGAAATACAGAAGTAATATTTGTAAAATAAACTTTAAGTATTAGAAGTACACATATTCATTATTCACTCATGATGGTACAATTATATAAAATATTACTGATCCAGAGTTTCAGCATTTTATGTTGGAGCTCGTTGATGTTTTTTTATTTTTATATACATTTTAATTTTTTTGTAAAATTTCAATCTGCAAAGTAACTTCAGATGTCACATGAAGTGTTTTGTAGGAAAGAAGTGTCTTATTTTCCTCTGACGTGTTTAAAGTAGTAGTGAAGTGGAAAGAAACTAGTATAAAACTGTATACAAGTACTTTAGTACATGTACTCAGTTTAATCCTGCAAAGTGCTCAAAGAGATAATTCATCATTTTAGGAATATGCATCTTATGTCTGCGCGATAAGCTGCAGTCAGGGCGTCGTTAGCCTAGTTTAGCATAAAGATTGGAGGCAGGGGGAAACTGCTAGCCTGTCTGAAAGATACACATTCCAACACATCTAAAGCTCGCTGATGAACATGTTGTAACCAGTTGTATGTTGTTTAATCTGCACACAAATGAATGTTAAAATGTTGTTCACGGGATTACGTGTTGGCACTCTTTCTTTTTAACCCTGCCTCGTTCTGATTGGCTAACAGGGAAGCGAGGTCGTAGGAACAGTGTTGGGTCATTGGACAGTACTATTGAAGTAAGTTTGTCGGGGGGGGAGGGGCTGTGAGCATGCAGGATGTGACCTCCCAGCATGCCCGCACACGTTCGGCTGCATGTTTGTTGGATTCGTGTGTTTGTAAATATTTTCATTTTAACGAGTGACGCGTTTGTCCAGTTTCTGCGATCTTTGGAGATCCATTATTACAGCTTTGGATATTCATTATTTGACAGTTTAATAGTAGATTGCACTTGTTTTCTTTGTCATATTTATTTGTGGTAAACAAAACCCCACCAGTTATGCTGTCTTTGTCTACTTAACGATTTCTTCTTCTTTCCTGCATGTCTGTCCTGAAATCTGTCTGTTTAACTCACTGACAATATATGTTCAATATATGTTCAAT